CCTTCCCATGGAGATTTAAAGTTATCTCTCAGAATCAAGGGGGCCAAACCCACCGGTCTGAAACAGAGCTTGAGCCATAGCATAACTTCGCTTTCAGGGCCACATACCTAAAGGCTTGACAACCGGTTTCCAATCTCATGATCGCGCCTGCCACGGAGGGGGGGATCCTGAGTATGGCTCTGAGGAATTGGGTTTGGATAGATTCCAATTTTTCAAAGTCCCTACGTGAGCCCAAGGCAATGCCCACCAGCAGAAGAGGGAGGACTTTCATTTTAAAGAGTCGCAAAGGCAACTTTGACAGTTTGTGCCTGTTTCTTGGAGTACAGGGTTCTAATCACCAAGGCTGCTTTGGATGCGTTCGAGGCTATGTATTCTCTGTGCGCCAAGAACGACCTATTTGATCTTACAACCTGACCCAGGTATTTGAAGCAGCTGACCTGCTCTAAAGGAATACCATTAATTGACCATAAATTAGGTTTCAGTCGAGCAGCAAAGACCATTATTTTGGTCTTGGCATAATTTAGTTGGAGCTCGTGTTGGGTCTCATATTCATGGAGAGCTCGAAGCATCCTCCTTAATCCGATGGGGGAGGTAGCTAATAGGGCGGCATCGTCCGCATACAGTAGGACATTCAAGGCTCGTCCTGCCAGTTTTGGTGGATGGAAATCAGCATTTGCCATATGCACCACTAGCGAATTAATATAGAAATTAAACAGAGCAGGGGCAAGCAAACAGCCCTCTCTTACCCCCCTAGTGGTGGCGACTGGATTGGAGACTAGCCCCTTACTATCTAGCCTAATCCTCAGGAGGGTATTTGTATGCAAATTAATAATCAGCAGGAGAAGGCGGCGGTCAATAGATGTCGCTGTCAATTTTGTCCATAGCTGGTTCCTGGGAATTAGATCAAAGGCCTGCTTAAAGTCTATAAAGGCGACGTGGAGGGCTTTTAGGCCATTGCCAGCGTACTTGGTGGCCAAGTGATTTAGGATTAAGATTTGGTCTGTTGTTGATCTTCCGGGGCGGAAACCCGCCTGTTCCTCTGCGATGATATTGTTGCTTTCCATCCAGGTCGTTAATTTGTTAAGTAGAAATCTTGAATAGATCTTCCCGATAACATTTAGCAGGCTAATTGGTCTAAAATTGGCCCGGGTCTGTGCGCGGCCCTTTCTTGTGAATTAACACAATCAGTGCCGAGTTCCAGCTTGGAGGAAATTGTGCTGTTTTGTTTATATAAGTAAAAAGAGCTGCTAGGGGTGGACACCACCAATCCTTATTGGCTTTAATAACATCTATGGAAATAAGATCGTCTCCGGGTGCCTTGCCCGCCTCAAATTGGCCTATAAGTGTTTCCACTTCAGAGCAGGTAACAGGATCCCACTCAGGCAAGGGGGCCAAATCTAACCTTCCTCCGCTGGCAGCGTGAGCTGCATATAAATCGGAGAAGAAGCTTTCCCAGGTGTCAGCTGAAATTTGAGGTTCTATCCTTGACAACGGTCTACCCAGGTATTGAGAAATTTTGTGCCAAAAGGAGGAGGGATTTCTATTTTCTGCAGCTTTTAGAAGGTTCTTCCAATCATTTCTTTCTGCCACAAGCTTCTTTTCCTTCAATAGTGCTTTATACCTTCTCTTGAGGTTCATAAGGTGACTGCTAGGTGCGGGGTCATTTGATGCCCTATATGCCAAGAATTCATTATATAGATTGTTCTTGAAGCGTCTACATTCCTCGTCAAACCACTTTTTATGAGAGAAATGGTTACTATTCATTACCGGGGCCTTAGCCAACGAAGGTTTTAGCAGTTCTACTAAATTGTCATATATTGGCAGTGGCTCAACTGCTTGGATAAGGGAGTCCCTTGCCTCTTGAAGTTGGTCAGACCAAAGGAGTTCATTTATCCGTTGAGCCATATTGTCGGTCCATTTTAAGGCAGTGGGCCTCATCTGAAGCTGGTTATTTGTAATAGGCACACAGGAATAGGTAGCCAATTCTCCATCCAGGGTCAGAGAGAGTTCTAATGGAAAATGGTCACTTTCCAGCCTCGTTACCACCCTAAAGTTGGAAATTTTGGGAATTAGGTCTACTGATGTCCAAATAAAGTCTATGGTAGAGGCTCGGGAGCCTGACCAGAAAGTAAATTCGGCAGGGTAATCAGAACTGAGAGCTCCGTTTAGGAGGTGAAAATTAAGAGCCATCAAAGTTTGTCTACATTTAAAACCTGCGTATGTAGCAACACTGTCTTTAAAATTCCTGGGTAAAAGGTCTGAGGTTAAAATGGGTAGTGAGGGGTATTTATTATATTTAGCAAATAATGATTTATCAGAGTGAGACAATTGACCGTTGACATCTCCTGCAACTAGGAAGGTGGCTTCAGGATATTTCTCTAGGAGAGTTTCAAGAGTCAGTTGAATTCCCCTCCATCTTTGGTCCACCAGGTTTTTCTTATAGGTTGGGTGCAAATAAACATTAATCACCACGAACACTTCCTCCGCTGTTTGTAGCTTTACACCCAGCATGGATGACGACTGGATGTCGATTTGTTCCACCTGCAGATTTAAGGCCAAAGAAACTAAGGTAGCCAACCCACCTTGTGGTCTACCAGGTGATAGTGGATTCTGTTGTGCATTCAGGTAGAAGCCCTTATACCCTGATAGGGAGAAGCCCTCACAAGCCCAGGTCTCTTGCAGCAAAAGAATACGACTGCCTTTTATGTAGGCGACAAAGGATGGATCCATCAGCTTAGATTTAATGCCAGCTACATTCCAGGATAAGAAAGTAAGTGATCTCCTGGTCACCCCTTCGAGTCATGCTGGGCCTTGCGGAACCAGCACGGCAGAATCCACCTGGGAATGCATGCGGCGAGGGGGGGCAATAGGCTGGAAGAAGGAAGTAATTGTAGCTTGCTTACCAGGCAATTTCCGAGCACCACTTACCGCAGCAGCAGCCATGGATTGAGGCTTAATTATTGGTAGCTGCAGGGATGGATTCTGGTGCACGGGAGTATCACTTAACGACAGGTCCATAGACTCTGCATTTAAAGTATGCTCTAAGATTGAGGGGGGTGGGCCTTTTGGATCTGCAGTTGCTGTAGGGAACATGCAGTGTAAGGCAGGTGGAAGGCATCCTTTTCGGTTTGCCTCCAAAAGAGCATTCAGTCTTGCCACAGCTTCCGAGTTTGACCAGAGGGTTGTCGAATCTTCCACTGTATCCTGCCCGGGCTTGACGTCCCGAGGCCGTGTACAGCCAGGTTGCAGATCAAAGGTCGTTAAAACAGGTACCACTTGGGCTTGTGTAGACTGATCTACAATTGGTGAGGAATTCATCTTATTTACATGAGCATGATCTTCTGAGTTACGGAGACAGAGTAGCAACTCGTCCAATCTGTCCGTTATCTCTGTTCGCTCCAGTTTTGGCAATTGGGAGAAGGATAGAAGTAACTCACGCTCCGTAGAATTCTCCAGATGTATAGCCTTTGTCAGTGGAGGCAGGGGGGCGTCAATCCAGCTGATTAGATCTGCGGCCAGGGGAGTTGGGGTCGTGGCAATTGGCGGACCCTCAGACTTGTCTGCTTTCTTTTTGAACAAGCAGTTTGGTAAGAGGGGGCAGATCTTGGTATTGGTAAAGACTCTTGTAGCAAGGATTCCATAGTTAATTAGAAGGCTTCTTGAGGACATAATAAGTGCAGGGAGCTTTTTGGTTTTAAAGGAGAGCAGCACTCTCTGCCTCTGAGGTCTGCTGCTAATATGCTCAGTATGCTTCAGGTCAATAGAGCTAGGGATTACCCCCAGAAGCTCCGCTAGGTGTCTCCTTATATCACTCTTATAATGCCAGTTTATCACCTTGCCTCTAAAGGGGCAAACCGTTAGGCAGATTTTGGTAGCTTGCAGCAGCAGTTTGTGAGGAGGTGCAAAGTGTTGTTCCTTCTTATTTTGCTCACTTTGCTCACTTTTCTGATTGCCAGCAGCTTGAGGAATTATACAGGAGGTATGAGGTAAAATGGGTGCTCTGGGCATTTGTATGGGCTTCATCTCAGGTGGTACATCAGGGGAACTGTCTTTACCTGTTAGGGATACAAGCGAGATAATCTTCTCCAAGGATCCTCGGATGTCTTTTATGTATTTAAAAATATAGTCCACCGTTTTAGCAACTAGGTCTAGAGTAGTCGAGTGTTCAAATAGTATCTCATCAATGCAGCTTTCACGGGCTCTAGTGCAGTCATTCGAGTGGATACCAGTATTATTATTGCTTGAAGGTTTAGTAGGCAGGTTATCAAAAGGTTCTTTCACAATGGTTTCCTCGTCATTCATCTCTGCTAGCAGTGTGAAAGAGTTTGAAACCGGAATATTAAAAATATCCTTTGTACTTTCAGATTCACTAATTTTTGTTTGTTTAGCAAGAGGCAGGCATCTCAGTTCCTCTGTGTCGTCTAAATATCTGGAATCTCTGGTACGTTTCCCAGTTCCTCTCCCACAAGCAGGGCTGTATAATTGCTTAGTCATTTCTCTCTTCATGCAGCTGCCCCAGTTTCAAGGTCAATGGTTGTCTCCCTGATAAAAAGAGGCGTCCTCCTACTTACTAATTTAAAACTAAAAAACTAAAAACTAAAGTTAAAAGTTAATAGGTTTCTATACTCATTAAAACAATCTTTAAAAGATAAATCAGTGAGCTCACACTCACGCTGACTAAGTGCCGTTCGCCATCTTGAGTCCCTCATTGACCCGATCCAGCAAGCCTCTCTGTGGTCATGTTTTAATCACAACTGTGATAAGGCTAATCCAGGCTAGAGCCAAAGAGATGGAAACTGAATTACTGATAACGAAAACAAAAGTCAGTTTTACATAATGTCGAAGGTATTTTAAATGGACAGCAAAGACTAGATTTGGCCCCCAAAGTAGCATATACTAAACAGAAAGCGATGCCATGTTCTTGGAGAATATAAAGGGTTTAGAACAGGAGTGGAAGGAAGAGCTCAGCAGTAGCAGAAAATATCAGAGAACACAGCTGCTTACTCCTGCAGCACTGCAAATATTTATTTATCATTTCATAAAGTTCATACACTGGTTGTTAAAAAACCCCACCTCAAAGTGATTTACAAAAGAACAATAAAATCATCAATAAAATCAGTAGAAAAATAACTCCTTCAAACATTCAAAAGATAAAATCAATAAACTAAAAACAATATTATGATTATTACCAGTATATTCTACAAAATGCTAGAATAAGAGGGATGCACCCTGTATGTTCAACATACATATAGTTCTGACTTTAATTTGCAACATGTTTTATAAATTTGTATTTTGTAATCACAAAATTATTGTAAGAAGGTATGTTATCATTTTACAGACTGGGAACTGAGGCAGAGAGTGTGGTTTTTGTCTAAGGCTGCACAGCAAGGATATGGTAGCTGATGAACTCAGGCCTCCCTGATATAAATCCAGTTCTCTGACCACAATTGCTCAACTCTTATTTAAAATACTGTGCTAAGTGCAGGTGGAGTCAAGATTCCCAAAACTGAGACTAGAGCTGGTAATATAAAATTCCTTCTGTTTGCACAATTGATGGTCTAGAATACGCTGCAGAGCGGATATCAAGTTCCCAAAAATAAAAGTTTTATGGCACTTGCTGGAAGGGGATTCTTCTGTTTGTTGCCGTCAGAATGCCCACAAGTCCCTTCCCAAGAATAACACTCCTTCACATCGTGGAAAAATAGTGTTTGAAATGTCTGTCACCGATTCTGCGTTCAGAGCAACTGCTTCACACAAACACGGCAGAAACTTCATCAGCGATGCCTAGGAAGCAACGAGATCAACGTTAACTATTGGATCATTGGATAAATCCTTTATGAAGGAAAGTATTATTGCAACATCATCTCTTACTCCTTGGCTCCCATGCTGTACCAATGTTACTGAACACCCTTTCATTTTGAATTTGATATCCCGCTTTATCACTACCCGAAGGAGTCTCAAAGCGGCTAACATTCTCCTTTTCCCTTCCTCCCCCACAACAAACACTCTGTGAGGTGAGTGGGGCTGAGAGACTTCAGAGAAGCGTGACTGGCCCAAGGTCACCCAGCAGCTGCATGTGGAGGAGCAGGGAAGCGAACCCGGTTCACCAGATTACGAGTCCACCGCTCTTAACCACTACACCACGCTGGCTCCCACAAATACTTCCAGGAAGGAATGGGAGAGGGTCCCAGCAGAGACGACGATGTTCTGAGTAGCTTTGATCACTGCATTAGAAGTGACTGACGGCCGGCCTCGGAGGAATACGTAGTGCTTTAACTGTCTCTATACTTGAGCTTACTTTCCCCCAGCTTTTTTACTCAGAAGTAACCAAGTTGCTCAAGGGACGCAGGTGGCACTGTGGGTTAAACCACAGAGCCTAGGACTTGCCAATCAGAAGGTCGGCAGTTCGAATCCCCATGATGGGGTGAGCTCCCATTGCTCGCTCCCTGCTCCTGCCAACCTAGGAGTTCGAAAGCACATCAAAGTACAAGTAGATAAATAGGTACCGCTCTGGCGGGAAGGTAAACGGCATTTCCGTGTGCTGCTCTGGTTCGCCAGAGGCGGCTTAGTCATGCTGGCCACATGACCTGGAGGCTGTACGCCGGCTCCCTTGGCCAGTAAAGCGAGATGAGCGCCGCAACCCCAGAGTCGTCCGCGACTGGACCTAATGGTCAGGGGTCCCTTTACCTTTACCTAACTAAGTTGCTCGTGAACCATTTGCTTTTATGGGCTATTTTGTTGAAACATTCCGGAAGACCTGCAGATGCCATTTTTGTAATCAAAATAACCCCAAGCTAATTGGTCGTTGTTGCACAAATGAGCTCATATATGTTGATATTCTCTTGCTTTGATAATATGCTAATGGGCTTGCTTTGATGCTGCACTTAGCTTCATCTTGGGACGGTAACATTGATAGGAGGAATGTAAAATGCGTCTACCTGAAGTTTCAAATAGCCTCTCAAAATAGGGCCGTGGAAGAACGCAACCGGAGGCCTAAATGTGAAGGATCAACTGCAGTGCCTTTTTCTCAACTTACCACAGATATTGGAACCTATCTTAATGCGTACGTAGCCATCTATTCCCCACGAAGTACCCCAGGAATTTCGAACAATCCAATAAGGAATGCTACCTGTAAAATAATTTCAGTAAGTTTTGTTTTGTTTTGTTTAGGACATCTTCGGCAAACTTTAATGCCTTTCGTTGGACAGACACGGAGAGACTTAAAAGCAGAGCCACAAGACAGAATCCAGATTCTTTACGAAGAATTTGGCTTAGCTAGCACATAGTACTTCAATATGTAGAAGTATGTGTTAAATTGTATTGATGCAATTCACCAGGGGTTTTGAACCTGGGGGTTAATATACCCCTAGGTGATTCCATGAAGGACTTCAGGGCGTCTGTGAACCAGACGGGGTTGGGGAGAGACTGGTATCCATCTTGGGCAGGCTGGCTGAAGGCTGGCTGCTATGCTGTGGGGCCAAACCCCTTTTTAAATGACCATGCTGTAAGATCTGGACCACCTCCATGCACACTGAAGGTGTGAATAGGTGAAAAAGAATATTTATTAAAACTACGGCAGTCTCTGCTGTGTCTCAGTTCTCAAAAGGAAGACAGACCCTGGGTGATTGTCTGGGACCCAGGCTTTTGCCACCGCTTGGCAGAGAGAGGGGGAGGCACCCAACTTTTGTAATGGTTTGTTGCACAATGAAATCTTTAATAAAACTGTTTAAAAAGAAAAAGGAAATGCATGCCACAATACCACCCCAAACTTTGTCACTTTACTCCTGCAATTTTCTGTGATAATGGGGTTGCAAATGGATTCCCCCCCCCCCAGAACCCATTAACACAGAAATGAGCACAAACGTTCTACTATATTCCACTAGATTGTGGCTTTCTTGTCTTGTGAAAGCTCAGATAAAAGGCTGAAATTAGCAATTGGGGAAACGTCAGGTGAACGGAATAAACCGCCATGCGAACGCAGACGTGTTTCGGATGGCACTAATATTGTGATGGCACTAATACCAGGAACAACTGGTAGGCGGGTAAAAAGGGAGATCCCTGGCCGCGCCTTCGTTAAATAGGGCAGGCCATGCCCCCAGAGCCAGCTGATTGGCTGGCCAGGGGGTGATGTGGTCGGGGATTCCCCCAGTCGTGTGGGGGGGCCATGACACCCGCAATCCCACCTCCTCTGCAGGGTGGAAGTGGCTTTCTCTAAACTGCTACGTTAATAATCATTCGTCTTTCTTTTCTTTTTCAACTTTTTTTCTTACTCTGTCATGATGTTTTTTCTTCTGTATTGAATTTTTCTATACTTACCTTTGTTGTAAATGATCATTTACATCTGTATTTTAAACCAATAAAGATTTACCATGAAAAAAATAATTTAAAAAAAATTGGTGGTTGAAAACTCACCTGTCGTGTCATAACCAGTAACTATAACAGCGTGATTTGCTTCTCCACTGGAGCAGTGATACTGGATGATGCCCCCAAGATAATCCTGCCAGCTGATTGCGTCTACAATTACTGGCAAAGGCCCATATTTAACTAGCATCCTCATCATTTCGTCTTCATGGCCACTGCAAGGTAAGAAGAATAGTCCCAGTCCCTCAGGGTCAGAATTCAGTCTAGCATCAAAATAGTTCGAAACCAACCAGCTTCTGAGCACCTTCTGTTTGGCAGGTATCCGGCCCCTTAGGTTGCAGAAGTCAGTCTATAGTACAGGAAATAAACTTGCTGTACTAAGCAGAAGTTATTCAGAGTAGTATTGGTATGTTGGGGCCACCATACTTCTGGAGTTTCCTGGACACATTCAGGGCTTGTCCGTCAAACAGTGTCTGAGCGGAACTGTTAAAATTATCCAGGGAAACCTGAGCATATGGCAACCCTTCTCAGAAGTGTCCAGGCAACTTTGTGCCCAGATTTTCACTTTCTGAAATATGGCAACCCTATTTATGTTATTTTACAGCTTCTGAAACTGGCAATTTCAACAAGGGTGGTTTCAATGAAGAACTCTTTCACGGTTTTGTGTATCATGCTACTTGGAAACTGCCCTCACGGTAAGCCAGCATTTAGAGAAGGTGGCGCTGTGGGTTAAACCACAGAGCCTAGGACTTGCCGATCAGAAGGTTGGCGGTTCGAATCCCCGTGACGGAGTGAGCTCCCGTTGCTCGGTCCCTGCTCCTGCCAACCTAGCAGTTTGAAAGCATGTCAAAGTGCAAGTAGATAAATAGGTACCGCTCCAGCGGGAAGGTAAACAGTGTTTCTGTGCGCTACTCTGGTTCGCCAGAAGCGGCTTAGTCATGCTGGCCACATGACCCGGAAGCTGTACGCCGGCTCCCTCGGCCAGTAAAGCGAGATGAGCGCCGCAACCCCAGAGTCGGTCACGACTGGACCTGATGGTCAGGGGTCCTTTACCTTATTCATCTGACAAGGATGAAGAATCACATTTTGCACCATGACCTTATTTTTTCCTCACACTGGGGAACAAATTTTTTGTCGCATTGAAACATGCAGTTGTTCTAACCTAATTTCAACATGCTGATTTCATATCTGAAGTTGGGTTTTTTTCTGTAAGTTCTGGGTTTTTTGCAATTCATGTTTTTCACTTTCACCATAATCTTTGTTTTTCACAGTGCAAGAATCCAATATTTTATTAAACACATAGCCAAAGTAGTACAATATGAGTATAAATGTAAGTGACTTATATAGCATTGAACATGACATGTATAGCATTGAAAATGATGTGTATATCTATGTACGGTTGGAGGTATGCAAAAAATTGTATTTCCTTGGGATACACAGTATACTGGGGAACAATTTTTTTTCCATTTTCTTTTGCATGAGATTTTTCAACTGTTCTTATATGTTCTTTGAATGCTGATTTCAAATCTGAAATCGATTTTCGTGTACATGCTATAGTTATCTTTCAATTTCCGACTTTTGCCGATATGTCATATTTACACTGGGGATAAGTGGACACGTGACACGTTCATCTACCCTAACCACATGGTAATTATTGTTCTGCAAACTTACTTTTTCTTTATTTTTACAGTTTTGTAACCTAAATATTTGTATTTTTCAGATCGTACCACTTGTTCGCCAGTGTTATAGCTAGAATAGTACCTGTGGTGCTCAGTTTGCTGTGAGAAGACATCTTGCCAGTAGATACACCTCTTCCTGTAGCCTCTGCCCACCCTCCAATCTGCAAAGATCATCTCCCCTTCCACCCTGCCAATGGATGCCTTCCCCCAATGGAGATAAACCAGTTGGATACCACTCTCTGATTTCTATAGCTATTTATAAACTATTCTCCCACCCCCATTTATTCTGATGATGATTCACAACCCTCTCCTCCCCTGCAAAACCCAATTAAATAACCTCAAGTAAAAACTATCTGCTTTTTTCACAAGTTGTATTCCCTGGCACTGTTTGTTCAGGTCAAGCGAGAAAAGCAGGGCACACATTGCAAAAGAAACACAAACAGTACAAGCCCGGTTGTGGAAGTTAAAAACACTTTCTGTGCATCCTCGTGCATTGACAAGTCATCCTGCTCTGCAGTCAATGACTGCTCTGCATTCGGAAGGGAAATGAGAACTGTGGGCGCATTTGCTGCACCAGGGGTCAAAGTCTCTCTCTACCTGGAATGTCAACATTCATGTATGATCTTTGAAACTCCAGAAGGGAGGCAGGATTTAGCAAGGTTCAACAACCTGCTGCTGAGTACTCTAAAAGACGATACGATACGATAATCTTTATTGTCATTGTCCCATACAGAACAATGAAATTGAAAAAAATCTACATCAGACATTCAAAAACCAACAAGCCTGCTATCCCAGCCTGGTTAGCCTCCTAAAAACTCTGATACCCCATAATTAAATACAATATACTCCCCTAGAGACTACCTTACACTGCGTTTAGAACCAAAATCGCATTTGGATAGAAACTGTTTCTCAGGCGGCTAGTCCTAGTCTTTAGAACCCTGTACCTTCTTGCAGAAGGCAGAAGCTGAAAGAGATCATTTCCGGGGTGCGCACTATCCTGCACTATCTCTGCAGCTTTCTTACGGCACCTGGAAGCATAGATTTGATCCAAGGTGGGAAGAGTGCACCCAATTATTCTCTCCGCAGTCTTTACAACCCTGGACAGCATTGTTTTTTCCCTGACCGTGCAGCTCCCAAACCACACACACAAACGAGAGGCATGTTTTCTTAAGAACGTCTGTTTACGATAATTTCTATGTTTTCTTAAAGCAAACATGTTTGCATCTCTAGCATGCATGCTCAGTACGTAAAGATGCAAGAAGCTGGAATCCTCTGGATGTTGTTGGACTCTCAACTCATGCCATCTCTGCAGCCAGCATGGCTATTTGTCAGTGACTATGGGAGCTGTAGGGGCGCAGGTGCCGCTGTGGGTTAAACCACAGAGCCTAGGATTTGCCGATCAGAAGGTCAGCAGTTCGAATCCCCGTGATGGGGTGAGCTCCCGTTGCTCGGTCCCTGCTCCTACCAACCTAGCAGTTCGAAAGCACATCAAAGTGCAAGTAGATAAATAGGTACCGCTCTGGCGGGAAGGTAAACGGCGTTTCCATGCGCTGCTCTGGTTTGCCAGAAGCGGCTTAGTCCTGCTGGCCGCATGACCCGGAAGCTGTACGCCGGCTCCCTCGGCCAATAAAGTGAGATGAGCGCCGCAACCCCGGAGTCGGCCATGACTGGACCTAATGGTCAGGGGTCCTTTTTCCTTTACCTTTATGGGAGCTGTACTTTCGGCAACACCCAGAAGGCCATAGATTCCCCACGTGTGGTACTGAAGAGGTTTATAACCGTAATAGTCACCTGGAATGTGAATCTACTGGGCTAGTTAGGGGGGGGGAGGACCCTGTGAAAATACTCACTGGTTGTTACCTTAGATCATAAGAGGTATAGCCTGTGACTGAAACTCCAAAATCAGAACGGCTGAAGTAATGGCACATTCCTGTTTCAGCTTTAAAAGAATATTCTGCATCCCTCACCAGTTTCACGCGTGTCTGCAAGAAGACGAATCAAACGAGTTGCTTAACAACACATTTTTATGCTCTTGAAAGTTGCTTTGGTCACACCAGAGTCTGTACTACTAAAATTATTTTATTTACTTCCTAAAATGTATATATCGCTTGATTTTAAAATAAAAATAAAAATCAGCAACTTATAAGAATAAAACAATAAAATTATCAGTAAGAACAGCTGAAAGCAACTATTTTAAACATTCAAAAATAATTAAAACCAATGAGGAACTAAAAGTGAATTAAAACACATGTCAACATTCTAAGTGTCCAGATAGGCTTCTTTTCTAAACAAATATGCTTTTAGTGGGTGCAGTGGAGCTCCTGCGCGTTGTCAATAGGCAGGGAGTTCCAAAGTAACTGCCGCAATAAAAGATTGATTTCTTACAAATAGCCCAGGGTTGCCAAACAGTGAAAATTCGGAAAGAAAAGTTGTTGAGCTTTTTTGGCAAAATCGCAAAACAAATGCCATTTTTGAGCTGTTCTTATAGAAAATTGGCAAAAACGGCACTGCCAACAGCAGGAAGATGAAGAAGAAGAAGAAAAGTTTGGATTTGATACCCCGCCTTTCACTCCCTTTAAGGAGTCTCAAAGCGGCTAACATTCTCCTTTCCCTTCCTCCCCCACCCGCTAGACGTACTCTAGATCTCAACTTACGTCAAGGTGGGAGAAATAGTGCCTCAACGGAGGTCACATGAGCAGATGCTGGAGCAGGGCCATCTACAGTGGTACCTCTGGTTAAGAACTTTATTCATCCTGGAGGTCCGTTCTTAACCTGAAACCGTTCTTAACCTGAGGTACCACTTTAGCTAATGGGGCCTTGCGTGGCCGCCACACAATTTCTGTTCTCATTCTGAGGTAAAGTTCTTAACCCGAGGTGTCTGTAACCTGAGGTACCACTGTATTGCCCATCTTGCCTGACTTATGACAGCCCTGGAGATATCTAATTGGCAAAAGTTGGAGACAATATTTGGGACTACGCAACCTTTGATCTACTCCAAGAGGGGAGTGTTTTTCTAGTCTGAGATTTGCCTTCTCTTTACCCAACACTGTCACGTATTAACAGAGCCTGTGGGTTTGTAAGAAATGAATACCTGATTCAGCCAACTCAGCGCAGTAACCGTAGAGCCACCGCTGCAGCCTTTATTCTCGTATGAACAGTCGATAACCTGCTGCACGCTGAGGTTCTCCAAAACGTTCCCTTTAATTGCGTATGCGGACTCTACTGCACTGACAACGCTGAAAGCCCAACAGCCGCCACACTGGAAAAGATGGGTGATAGATTACAATAGGAAGCGTAAAGATGAATGTAAAATAAACATTTCACACAGAAATTTAAAGGATAAAAATTCCCCTTGCAAAATTAATGGATATCAAACAGTCATCAGATCAGTGGCTGTTAAAATAAAGGATCCAGATCGGAACTGTCGTATTTGGACTAACTAAGAGCAGGACGAAATAAGAACATCATTCCCTGAAATCCAGAGCACGGGAAGTCATTCAAAATTGTTTTATTTGGTATTGGATAATTGGCTTTTTAATCGTATTATAATTTGGTATTGTATTAATGTGGCTTTTGTTGGATTGTTATAAATGAAAATTAATTAAAAAATTATTTAGAAAAAGAAAAACAATCGTCGTTAGTTGCCCTTCATACTTTTTTTCCACAAATTTATTTCAAAATAGCCTGTTTTTCACATAGTTCCATACAGATAGTGTTTTATCCTGCGGTGTTGCTCAACTGGCAGTAAGGCTTCCATCAGTGGAACAGGGAAGGAAGCAATTTTCAGGCATTTCCTGTCCCCCTATGCTTCTCTATATCTGTTCTAGAGGGCCCCCTCCCCCAAAAAAACTTTCCAGAGCAGATTTAGGGTGGCTTTGTGACTGTATGAGGAGGACGACTGAAAAGCCTTACCACCAGCTGAGCAACACCCATAGAGTGAATAATTACACATTTCTCAGTTATACAGTAATCTGTCTTGCAGTCCTTTCCAGATTTGCCTATCCCATCTATTTTCAGCAGCTGTAGACAGACATTGTTGGATTTTTTAAAAAATACGGCAAGTGCAGAGGCTTCAACTTGGCTTTTCTACTACCTATAATGAAAAGGCCAGTTCATATCAACCAGAGAAATGATGCTATAAACGTGCACACTGCCGTGTCAGCAATGCAAATGTATTCTCATCTCAAAAGGGAACTGGAACACTCACTGTATTATCTTTTCTTTCTTTCTTTTTGCCAATTAATTTTTTCCCAAATTTTAAACAAATCAATGCCAAATTAAATCAAATTTAATGCAAACAAGATGACCTCCCACTCTTCGTCTTAGATGTGCCCCTGTTTCCCCCCTTTGTTGCTTAATAGTACACACTTATCTCTGGTTCACAATCCATTCCTGATGTTCAGCTCCCATTATTCAACAGCTGTTGATTTATCAATTGCTACTCATACATTTACCGAACAATACTGTATACCCTTAAAGAACAAAAAAAGGTTGCACATCCCCCTTGTTGTTGTTGTTTAGTCGTTTAGTCGTGTCCAACTCTTTATGACCCCATGGACCAGAGCACGCCAGGCACTCCTGTCTTCCACTGCCTCCCGCAGCTTGGTCAAACTCATGCTGGTAGCTTTGAGAACACTGTCCAACCATCTCGTCCTCTGTCGTCCCCTTCTCCTTGTGCCCTCCATCTTTCCCAACATCAGGGTCTTTTCCAGGGAGTCTTCTCTTCTCATGAGGTGGCCAAAGTATCGGAGCCTCAGCTTCAGGATCTGTCCTTCCAGTGAGCACTCAGGGCTGATTTCCTTCAGAATGGAAAGGTTTGATCTTCTTGCAGTCCATGGGACTCTCAAGAGTCTCCTCCAGCACCATAATTCAAAAGCATCAATTCTTCGGCAATCAGCCTTCTTTATGGTCCAGCTCTCACTTCCATACATCACTAGCACATCCCCCTATTTTAAAACATTATTTCTGTGTTAATTTGCCTTTCTTATCTTCTTGTCATCTTAGTTGCTGAAGTTTTGAGGGTACCAGGTCCAAAATTAGGCAGAAAATCAACTGTGGAACTTACCGCTTCTTGATTCCGCACGCTGGTAACGACATTCTTGTCCCTCCAATCAAACTTTGCTGGTAAGGGTGCGTCTGTGCCCTCTAGGCTCGCTCCCGGCACATACTTGGGAACTTTAAAAAGTCTACTTTGTAAGTAAGTCGCTTTAAAACAAAACAAAAGTTCTGTTATTTTCTAGTTTTGATTACAGCCATTTCAGAGACATGGTTTCTAAAAACCAAACACTTGCATTTTTTCCAGTCATTATGATTTATAAAATCTAGATACTGCCCTTCATCCAAGGATCCTATGATTTACAGCGCTTTACAGTACAGAAATGCAAAAATAAATCACATAATAATGACAGAACAACCCCCCCCCAGTTTAAAACACCAAAGGCCTGGGATAATCATAGAATGATAAAATTGTAGAGTTGAAAGGGGCCAGGTGGTCTACCTCCCTGCAGTGCAGGAATATTTTGCCCAACATGGGACTTGAACCCACAGCCCTGAGATTAAGAGTCTCATGCTGAAGGCAGCCCTGTTTAAAAAGGTAAAGGGAACCCTGACCATTAGGTCCAGTCGTGGCCGACTCTGGGGTTGCGGCGCTCATCTTGCTTTATTGGCCGAGGGAGCCGGCGTACAGCTTCTGGGTCATGTGGCCAGCATGACTAAGCCGCTTCTGGCGAACCAGAGCAGCACATGGAAACGCTGTTTACCTTCCCACCGGAGCGGTACCTATTTATCTACTTTCGAACTGCTAGGTTGGCAGGAGCAGGGACCGAGCAACGGGAGCTCACCCTGTCGCGGGGATTTGAACCGCCGACCTTCTGATCAGCAAGTCCTAGGCTCTGTGGTTTAACCCACAGCGCCACCCACGTCCCTAGCCGTTTAGGGAAGCTTTTCATATTTAATGCTGTATTGTTTTTAACACTTGATTGGGAGCCGCCCAGAGTGGCTGGGGAAACTCAGCCGGATGGGCGAGGTATAAATAATATACTATTATTATTATTATTTTTATTATTTATTTATTTATTTATTTATTTATTTATTTATTTCTGCAAAAGTCTGGACTGCTCAATCTCAGGTGTACCCTAGACCCCGAGATATAAAACTACGAAGGGAAAAGGTCCTGTTAGAGAAAGGGATGGTTAAATGAAATAAACTAAGAAAGGGACGATTAATAGCCGCAAAAGTAATAATCGTCATAGCAACATGCATAATGAAACATTCTGACAGGTTGAAGCTCAGAGAGTCTGAAATTTGGGGAGACCATAGATCTTCTCAAGACAAAAACGAGCACTTTAGTCCTGCTTAGCAAGATGTTCAGGCACACCAAATCATATCAAAAGGATGTCAAAATAGCTTGCACTGAAGATAAAGCAAGGCCTCAGTCCAGTATATCTGAAGGAGCGTCTCCACCCCCATCGTTCTGCCCGGACGCTGAGGTCCAGCGCCGAGGGCCTTCTGGCAGTTCTCTTACTGCGAGAAGCCAAGTTACAGGCAACCAGGCAGAGGGCCTTCTCAGTAGTGGCACCCGCACTGTGGAACGCCCTCCCATCAGATGTCAAAAAGAACAACAACTACCATCTGAAGGCAGCCCTGTTTAGGGAAGCTTTTAATGTTTAATAGACTATTGTATTTTAATATTCTGTTGGAAGCCGCCCAGAGTGGCTGAGGAAACCCAGCCAGATAGGCAGGGTATAAATAATAATATTATATTACTATTATTATTATTTGCAAAAGCATTAAATATTTTGTAATGTAATACTCTGTACCTCTAAATTCTTCAGGAAACAAGTGGGAAAATTTATTTATTCCATAGGTAGCAGTAGCGTTGTCGCTAGATGATAAGGAATTCAAATGCTTGATTCTCTTAATACTTTCCTGGAAAAAACGAAAGCATAATTGCACTCTTGAAATGTAAAGAAGTCTGTCTGTATGTTTGTTGGTTGGCGCCTTGTACACCTCCTTCCGACAACTCCTACAACCAAGCTAGTGCCCAATGTCTTGTTCTGCTTTCCTTTGGACCACATCAGCAAGTCCAAGAGAGGGGGATCTTGTCGTCTGGGCAGCCCAGGACCTCCAGACAAACTGCCCAGACTTGCGCCCCAGGGAGGTCACTTGGGTTTTTCACACCCCTCTTTTTGTTATTGTTATTTGGTTTTTTATAATATTTTGCTGTTATTCCATCTGGCCCTGGGGATTTCCCTACTTTTGTTTGATTTATTGCCTCAATTACTTCTTGAACTGAAATTTCTATATTTAATATCCTCATTTGATCCTCTGTTATCTTTGGTAATTCACTATATTTTTAATATAGTTTTCTATCCTGTTTGAATCTTCAGTTCTTTCTCTGTAAAGATCAGTAAAATATTTTACAAAAGCCTCCCTTTTTTCTTTTGGTTTCTCAGTTATCCTACCATTAAGCTTTATTCAATTTGCATACAGTGATACGTCAGATTACACATGCTTCAGGTTACAGACGCTTCAGGTTACAGACTCCGCTAACCCAGAAATAGTACCTCGGGTTAAGAACTTTGCTTCAGGATGAGAACAGAAATCGTGCAGTGGCAGCAGGAGGCCCCATTAGCTAAAGTGGTGCTTCAGGTTAAGAACAGTTTCAGATTAAGAACGGACCTCCGGAACGAATTAAGTACTTAACCTGAGGTACCGCTGTAGTTAATTTGTTCACTTTTTCTCAATTGCCATGCCAAAAGTTTCCCTGTTTTATTGGCGTTTTCAAAAAATAAATAAAAAATAAATAAATTCCATGCTATTTCCTCACTAATTACCATAAAATATTGTGACTCCATTGTCTCTCAAGACAGAAAGATGACGACAACAACAACAACTAGGCACAGGCCTGTCAACAAACCTGGACGCTACCTCTGTTGTTTCCCAAGTGTTTCCTTGGGACCAAAAAGACGAGTTACACTGGGGGGGGGGTGTGTAATGGAATATAAGAGATTTATCTGAGAATTAGCAATCTGCATTTGTAGTTGTTATGTGTGTGTAACTTCATTTTATGGCCCAACATTTATACAGTGGTACCTCTGGTTGCGAACGTGATCCGTTCCGGAGCCCCGTTCGCAACATGAGCAGAACGCAACCTGCCTCTGCACAGGTCATGATTCGCCGCTTCTGCGCATGACATCATTTTGTGTGTCTGCGCATGCGCGAGTGGCGAAACCCAGAAGAAACCCTTTCCGGTACTTCCGCGTTGCCGCAGGACGTAACCTGAACCAAACATAACAAGTGGTATGACTGTATCAGTGATGGGAAAAACTGTGGCCTACTAGGTGTTTGACTCCAGCTCCCAATAGCCTTGCCCAACATGGCCAACGATCAGGGATGATGGAAGTGTCTGTCTAGGGTACCTGGAGGCCCACAGGTTGGATGCCCACTTTGTACTATCAGCTGGCGATAATACCTGCCCTCTTTTGACCTGCCACATTGACCTGTAACAACTGTGGAGCACCACAGCTAACCAAATAAGGTGCTTCTTCCCATACTGGTACAGTGATACCTCGGTGTCAGGGAACTGCCAGCGGCTCAAAGGGGAGAGATAGAAGGGCAGTTGTGTTACAGGGAGCCTCCAAAAATCTTGCGAAGCAGTTCCTCTTCTGGCGAGGAGGAAAGCCCAAACTCCAGTGAAGAAGAGGTGCAAGAACCAGAGAATGCTTGGTAAAGGTAAAGGTACCCCTGCCCGTACGGGCCAGTCTTGACAGATTCTGGGGTTGTGCGCCCATCTCACTCAAGAGGCCGGGGCGAGCGCTGTCCGGAGACACTTCCGGGTCACGTGGCCAGCGTGACATCGCTGCTCTGGCGAGCCAGAGCCGCACACGGAAACGCCGTTTACCTTCCCGCTAGTAAGCGGTCCCTATTTATCTACTTGCACCCGGGGGTGCTTTCGAACTGCTAGGTTGGCAGGCGCGGGGACCGAACAACGGGAGCGTACCCTGCCGCGGGGATTCGAACCGCCGACCTTTTGATCGGCAAGCCCTAGGCACTGAGGCTTTTAACCACAGCGCCACCCGCGTCCCTCCAGAGAATGCTAGGAAGAGCCTTAACACCGAGCCTGAGCAAGCTGGAGAGGCGGGGAGCACGCCCCTGCCATCGCCCATCCTGCGCAGTAATCTGAGGCACAGGGAGGGGTGGAAAAGGCTGGGGGTGACGAGACATTTATGTTGAGGGAGGTACAAAAACAGATCACTCCCGGATTCTGCTAGCGATTGAGCCAGACATGAACTTATGACGCTCTTCACTGTAAATAGTTTGCCCCAAAATAAAGCCTGTAAAAAACAGGTGGGAGTCTTGCTTGGTTACTCTCGAGCAACCGCAACAGAACCTGACACTCAGGTTGCGAACGTGATCCGTGTGGGAGGCACGTTCGCAACCCACAGCGTTCGCAGCCTGAAGCGCAGTGTCTGCGCATGTGCATGATGCGATTTGGCGCTTCTGCGCATGTGCGTGACATCATTTATGCTTCTGCGTATGCACGAGTGCCGAAACTCAGAAGTAACCCATTTCAGTACTTCTGGGTTCGGCGCGGTCCGCAACCCAAAAACGTGCAACCTGCAGCGTTCGTAACCCGAGGTATGACTGTATCTTCCATTAAATCATCAATGGCAGTGGGTTCATTCACACCTTTTCTCTGCATTTCTAGGCACAGGTATGGGCTTTCTCAGAAGCAGCGAATCGCGGCATGCACAGACGCAGATCTTGTTCGCAACCAGAGGTACCACTGTAGAGGGAAGTGTTTTTTAATGTTTAATGTTATATATATAACAGAGTGGCTGGGGCAACCCAGTAAGATGTGTGAGGTATAAATAGTAAAATTATCATTATGGAATGGGACGTCCAATTTTCACTGGAGAATTGTTGGAGGGTATGTAATCAGCTACATGCAATTAACGTAAACAGTGATAGTACAAATGGGTTTTCCCCCCAGTGGTTCACAACCACCAAGTGCCAAGAGGGACTCTTGAAGCCCAGTAATTGCACTTCCACAAGATTACTTGCTGAACTTAAAAAAATGCTAAACACACAAACATTTATTTGTTGTATGCCAAGACAGGAATTGGCTGAACAGCACCAACCTACCACAAGGACCCACAATTTCTGAGCAATTCCCTGTTCATCTATGTTGCAGCCAAATTAGCAGAGAATCTCATAGCTCACAAAATTAGTACGGCATACAATGGTACCTCAGGTTAAGTACTTAATTCGTTCCGGAGGTCCGTTCTTAACCTGAAACTGTTCTTAGCCTGAAGCACCACTTTAGCTAATGGGGCCTCCTGCTGCTGCTGCGCCGCCGGAGCCCGATTTCTGTTCTCATCCTGAAGCAAAGTTCTTAACCTGAAGCACTATTTCTGGGTTAGCGGAGTCTGTAACCTGAAGCATATGTAACCTGAAGTGTATGTAACCCGAGGTACCACTGTAATAAACTTTCACCAACAACAGCCCCACTTTCAGGATTTAGGCTTTTAAGTCTAAACGTGTCCAGAGGAGGGCAACCAAAATGGTCAAAGGCCTGGAAACGATGCCTTATGAGGAACGGCTAAAGGAGCTGGGCATGTTTAGCCTGGAGAAGAGGAGGTTAAGGGGTGATATGATAGCCATGTTCAAATATATAAAAGGATGTCACATAGAGGAGGGAGAAAGGCTGTTTTCTGCTGCTCCAGAGAAGCGGACACGGAGCAATGGATCCAAACTACAAGAAAGAAGATTCCACCTAAACATTAGGAAGAACTTCCTGACAGGAAGAGCTGTTTGACAGTGGAATTTGCTGCCAAGGAGTGTGGTGGAGTCTCCTTCTTTGGAGGTCTTTAAGCAGAGGCTTGACAACCATATGTCAGGGGTGCTCTGATGGTGTTTCCTGCTTGGCAGGGGGTTGGACTCGATGGCCCTTGTGGTCTCTTCCAACTCTATGATTCTATGATTCTATGATCTTGTGGTGAAGATGAGTACAAAAACTATCCACTTTGATTTATTCACTGAAAAATATTTGTTGCATCTGCTTTTCACTGCTTGTCAATTTTACAGGGGGAAATATCTTTGAAATTGGGCTTATTCTTCTTCCTTCAACTGCACATCAAAACCCACTTTTCCTGTATGTCTTTCTCCTTAACCCCTTAAACTCCAAGCTATTTTTCTCCCTCTGCACCCTTTGTTTTTCCCACCTCTCTTTATATTATTTTATTTCCTCCAACCTTTTAAACGGCAAAGCATGCAGATGGTGCCATAGAAAGCAACAGACGTAACTTTTGTGTGAACTCCCAGCTGAATACGAAGCTAAGCTATTGGAATCAATAGGAATATTATTATTATTATTATTATTATTATTATTATTATTATTATTATTATTTAATACATGTTATATATTTTATTACATAATAATTCAATATATACACCTCCCTTTATCCAAAGATCCCAGGGTGGGGCACAGCATTAAAAACATAATTTAAAGAGCAGACCTGGGGATCTGAAAGGGGGTGGTCGCCAACGAAGCTTTACTCGAGAGTAGACCCATTGAAATCCATGTCTGGGATTCAATTGGGTCCATTAATTCCAGCGGGGTCGGCTCGGGAGTAAATTGTGCGGCAGATGCACACCATACGCTTAAATGGCATGGCTCCCCACCAACCCAAAATCCTGGGACCTGTAACCCCACCCCATATCTGATGCCCGGAATTTATTTTTTAAGGAGGAGGGAGAAGCCATATGCTTTGAATATGTGTTGGATACGCGCGTGTGCCTTGGCTGTGCCGCCACATTTGGGACTGGGATGGAGATCTCGCCTCCAGCCCCACAAGGAAGCAGCGCGCATGGACCAGGACTCCTGCCGGCCTCTCCCTCTCCTCTCCCCGCTCGCACCTACCTGCAAGGCGGCTTCCTCCGTCCCCTCGCTGCTCCTGGGATGCCTGGATCCGGGACGCCGACCCTCTCCGGCTCCCAGGAAGGGCAGCAAGCAGGAGAAGAGAAGCCACGGCTTCATGGAGAGCCTCTCCGCAAGAGCTGCGCCCTGGCGCCGCTTGGTTTTCTGCACGACTCGTTTTTTCCTTTCGCTTTGCTGGCTCCTCCTTCTCCCCAGAGAAGAAGCCTCAAAGAAGACTTTTACGCTTCCGAGCCCTCCAGCTGCCTTCGGCTCGGCTCTTTTGTTCGACTTGTCGCTGCAGAAAGCGCTTTTGAGTGGTCCCTCCGGCAGGGAGGGAGAGAGGGAGGGATAAGAGGCGTCGCCTCCAGCCTTGCAACTTGGCAAAACTTGTCACTGCAAAAACTTGTCACTGCAAAAAAAGACGGTGGCTCTCACCCCTCAAGATGAATCTCTGCCTTCCCCCCTTTTGGACCCTGGGCTCTCCTTCTTTGCAGGTTTTTAATAATAATACATAATAATAAAAAAATTTATTTATACCCCGCCCTCCCCTTCAAACTTTCAGATTTGAAAATAAGGGATCAGCAGCCTCGAAAATAAGGGATCCGTAGCCTTATCTGTCCTGGGGACAGTCTATGGGATATCTAACAATCTGGGATAGCAACGGGAAGCAGCAGGAAACGGTGCTGGAATAAGGGGATTTCCCGCAAAAAAACGGGAAGGTTGACAGCTATGCTCCCCAGCCAAGACTGGGCTCAGGATGGCTAAAGGTAAAGGGACCCCTGACTATTAGGTCCAGTTGTGGCTGACTCTGGGGTTGCGGCGCTCATCTCACTTTATTGGCCGAGGGAGCCGGCATACAGCTTCCGGGTCATGTGGCCAGCATGACTAAGCCGCTTCTGGTGAACCATAGCAGCGCATGGAAACGCCGTTTACCTTCCCACCGTAGTGGTACCTATTTATCTACTTGCACTTTGATGAGCTTTCGAATTGCTAGGTTGGCAGGAACAGGAACTGAGCAACGGGAGCTCACCCCGTCGCAGGGATTTGAACCGCCGACCTTCTGGTCGGCAAGGCCTAGGCTCTGTGGTTTAACCCACAGCGCCACAACACCAGGTAAAAACAATGGATGAAAGTACAACTTAAAAACAAGATTTAGTACAACATTAAAATGCAGCCCCATTTCAGTAGGAACTCAATTCAAAAACATTTTAGGGATGAAAGTGTCAAATCTTCACCAAGGCCAACTATAAGCATCCAACTTTAAGCAGCGGTTGGGTGGCCATCTGCCAGGGATGCTGTAGTTGAGATTCTTGGATTGCAGGGGGTTGGACTAGATGACCCCAAAGGTCCCTTCCAGCACTACGATTCTAGATTCTCATTTCCCCTTACAGAACTCTTGTGGGATTTCAAAACATCCCACTTAGATCCCAGGAGGAAGCTTTTGATTTCATCCAGACTCTCTTTATGACATACCCTTATTATTCTAGTTTCAGGTAGGTAGCCGTGTTGGTCTGTCGTAGTCAAAACAAAACAAAACAAAATAAATAATAACAAAATTCCTTCCAGTAGCACCTTAGAGACCAGCTAACTTAGTTACAGTGGTACCTCGGGTAAAGTACTTACTTCGTTCTGGAAGTCCGTTCTTAACCAGAAACTGTTCTTAACCTGAAGCACCACTTTAGCTAAGGGGACCTCCTGCTGCTGCTGCGCCGCCGCTGCACGATTTCTGTTCTCATCCTGAAGCAAAGTTCTTAACCAGAGGTACTATTTCTGGGTTAGCGGAGTCTGTAACCTGAAGCGTATGTAACCTGAAGCGTATGTAACCCGAGGTACCACTGTATTGGTATGAGCTTTCGTGTGCATGCACACTTCTTCAGATACTCTGTTTCTTATTTACTGCATTTGTAACCCAAGGTGGCTTACCCAGGTGTTTAGAAACGCTGGCGGGAATTTTAATCTGTTAACATTTTAAATTTTTCCATGTTTTAATGCACTGAAACTTTCCCCCTGATTTTATGGTTTTATCTTTTTTGTAAACGTGCTTTGATTTATTGTTTTGGGGGGTTTTTTTTGCCATCAAGCGGTGTGTAAATTTTATGAAATAAAATTTTAAAAATGAACATATGCTTCTCCTCTCTCCTTGCTTAATCCACACAACACCCCTGGCGTGAGAGGCAGTGACCCGCCCCCAAGGTCACCCGCTGAGCAAGTAGAGATTCGAACCCGCGTCTCCAAGGGTCGCCCATAACCCTAAACCACCACAGGGCACTTCCATTTTTATTAAAAAGATACTCTGTTAAAAAGAGGTTGGTGCCAGCAAGGGACATGAAAACAAAATGGTTTGTTCGTTCTGTGCCGGACATGACATTCTTGTGACTAGATTAATCATTCATTTCATTAAGGTCAACATCTGGACGTTTCACCATCAGTACAACCGTGAGTCGAGAAGTTATTGTTGACTGAGCAGAGCAGGATCTGGATACAAGTTACACCCAGGAGGTCTTCAGCATTGCCAGGAATTTATTCCATTTTTATTTATTTTTTTGCAAAATATGGGAGCTAACCTGGAGGGAGGTGGAACTGGAGAACAGAAATATACCCGAGGAGCGAGAGGTTCTGTTTTGGGGATGTGTGCTTCTTTCTTTCTTTTTATTTTTTATTAGGAATTTAAACAGAACATATTATCTTAAAACATATCATCCTTAATTCCCCCTCCCCATTTTTCTCCCTCCCCCTCCCTCCCATAAAACAACCCCCCTCCCTGCCCCACCCCAGTTCCAATCTCTGGTTTCTCTATAAACGCTATTCTCTGCATATTACGACATTGTATAAATCCTCAATTTGTCTAACTGCTTATTATCAATAAAAAGTTTGTGAGTGTTTATTCAAAACCTGCCAAGGAGTCCAATTCACTTTGTTGCGTCTTTAAATACTTTGCAAAAGGTTCCCGTTCGTCTTTAAAGGCACAGTTATCCTTGTCCCGTAGCTTGTGTGTCAATTTTGCCAATTCTGCGTCGTCCATCAGTTTCTCTTGCCATAATTCTTTAGTCGGGATTTCCTCGATCTTCCATCTTTGTGCTATTAAAACTCTCGCAGGCCGTTGTCGCATACATGAAGATGTTTTCCAACTTCTTTGGCAGGTATTTTCCTACAATCCCTAACAGAAACGCTTCAGGTTTTTAAACAAATGTTAGAGGGGGAAAGTGTGCTTCGATCTCTCCTGCCCCCATCTCAGGAGCATGTGTGGAAGGAACAGAAATTGGTTTCCTATTCTCTTCCTCCGCTAGCAACAGGCCCAGTTTTCAGGTTGCCAGAAGCTGCTGCGTAATTGAAACTTTGCTTTTGTGGGATCTCATTCCTTTGCGGTGTAAATGCAGGGTGCAATTGCAAGCAGATGGAATAACTTGATACAGTGGTACCTCAAGTTAAGTACTTAATTCGTTCCGGAGGTCTGTACTTAACCTGAAACTGTTCTTAACCTGAAGCACCACTTTAGCTAATGGGGCCTCCTGCTGCTGCCGCGCTGCCGGAGCATGATTTCTGTTCTCATCCTGAAGCAAAGTTCTTAACCTGAAGCACTGTTTCTGGGTTAGCAGAGACTTTAACCTGAAGCGTATGTAACCTGAAGCGTATGTAACCTGAGGTACCACTGTATGAAGTGCATTGTCTCATCTTTCTAGCAAAACCAGAGATTTGCATCGGTTTAAACAAACTACAAAGCCATAGGGCTTATTTTATTTGATGGTTGTCTTTAGCCAGAATGAAAAGAGTTGAAAATGGAAATTTTCCACTTGCTTAAAAATTACGTTTAAAGGTAAAGGTACCCCTGCCCGTATGGGCCAGTCGTGACCGACTCTAGGGTTGTGCGCTCATCTCACTCTAGAGGCCGGGAGCCGGCGCCGTCCGAAGACACTTCCGGGTCACGTGGCCAGCGTGACAAAGCTGCTCTGGCAAGCCTGCACCAGCGCAGCACACAGAAACGCCGTTTACCTTCCCGCTATAAAGCGGTACCTATTTATCTACTTGCACTTAAGGGTGCTTTCGAACTGCTAGGTGGGCAGGAGCTGGGACCGAACGACGGGAGCTCACCCCGCCGCGGGGATTCGAACCGCCGACCATACGATTGGCAAGTCCTAGGCACTGAGGTTTTACCCACAACGCCACCCGCGTCTTTAGCCAGAATGAAAAGAGTTGAAAATGGAAATTTTCCACTTGCTTAAAAATTACGTTTAGTACTGCCTTAATTTCATGCTTGATAACAAGCTCATAATTTCTTCAGGCTTGTAAGGAAGCGTGAAGAAACCATGGGTTTTTATAGATGTATGCTGCCAAGAAGTTCATCAAACCTAATTAATGTATTTTATCTTTACTCAAGGACCCCATATGGCACGTTACTTCATTAAATTGGGCGTTTGTTGTTTTTCTTTGTGCTGCGTGAGAGGAGATCTTAAGATGCTGGTCAAGGTAAACGGTTTTCTGTCCCTTCTTTTGCAGCTCATTTCCTTGGCAATAGGCTCAGATGTGGCATGTGATTTGTAGGAGTTTTCAAAAGACACAACCTCACATAACAGCATTCACCAAAAATGTTTCAGAATTCGATTACAGTGGTACCTTGGTTTACGAACTTAATCCGTTCTGGAAGTCCATTCTTAAACCAAAACTGTTCTTAAACTGAGGTGTGCTTTCCCTAATGAGGCCTTCCACTGGCAGTGTCCTTCCACTATTCGGATTCTGTTCTTAGACCGAGGTAAAGTTCTTAATTTCCTTTCCTTTCCTTTCCTTTCCTTTCCTTTCCTTTCCTTTCCTTTCCTTTCCTTTCCTTTCCTTTGCTTTCCTTTCCTCTCCTCTCCTCTCCTCTCCTCTCCTCTCCTCTCCTCTCCTCTCCTCTCCTCCCCCTGGCCAGTTTGTCTTACGCATTGGCCTCTGGTGACGGGTTTCATGGCATCCCATAGGGCCAAGATTTTAGCATTCGGGACAGCGTTTTCTAGGAAGTAAAACTTTAGTTCTTGACATTTTGTCTGTTGATAAGAGGGAATCAAAAGTCCAGCGAAATAAACTTGGTGTTAGCAAGTCCATTGCTACAGAAATCGGGGCATGGTCTGAGACGGAAATATAGTGGTACCTTGGGTTGTGAACGGGATCCATTCCAGAGCCCTGTTCGCAACCTGAGCAGAACGCAACCCGCGTCTGCGCATGTGCGGGTCACGATTCGCCGCTTCTGCGCATGCGCGTGAAGTTATTTTGAGCGTCTGCACATGCGCGAGCGGCAAAACCCAGAAGTAACCCTTTCCGGTACTTCCAGGTCGCCGCGGGATGCAACCTCAAAACGCTCAACCTGAAGCAAACGCAACACAAGGTATGACTGTAATTCCTATATCTGCTGCTTTTTTCCTAAAAAATGTTCAGTTTCTGTTAATTGATTCTCATGGGAAACTTGCAGATTCTGGCTTCGCACAATTAACTCAAGGCAGTGTCAATTTACTCTTGGCAGAAAGCCCAGGTCTGCTTGACCTAGAAACTACTTACTCTGATTGGTTAACGACCAGCACTCAACTCTGTTATCTAGGGATTGCTAGCACAGTTTGGTGTGAGGTGTGTTAGGAGTTCGAGTAGAAGTGCTGTGTATGGTTTTGAGAGAGAGAGAGAGAAAGGATTTATTTTGCTTGGATTTGTATGCAGAAACTCTGCTGGTTTTATTTTTCCTTTTAATAAATCCTGTAAATAGTTATTCTGAGTCTAGCTGACTAGTCATTACCGCCGCAACTAGCTTCCTCGCTGTGCAGGAAAACTCTGCTACGTTTGGGCTAAAGCCAATAGGGCTATGCCTGACACTTCAAAGTTCCATGAAAAAAAATATATGTTTAGGGGTACTTTCATTTTGACTCAAGAAAATCACCATTTTATAGTTCAAATCGGGGAAAATGAATACAGGAAATGGACAAAAGTACAAAGAACATGCATTACCTCCTGTTAGCTCACAATAACTTCCACATCTTCCCGATTCCTCTGGTGTCCGTCCCCAGATGTCGTCCTTTCAAAAACCATGAATTTACATACATTGAAGACTTAAACAAACTCAAAAGGGGAGCGCCTACCAATTTTATAAACATTAAGCTGGCTAAAGTGTTTAAATGCAATGAAGCTTTTGTTGGAGTCAGCATTAAATTAATCTGAGAGAAACCACGTTCACACTCACTTCTTGAAATTGGGATGTTCTTCATTGGCTTGAAAGAGGCACAAGAGACGATGGAATCTTCTTTTCGGAGAGGTACTCTTGAAAACCCCTTAGGATTTGTCTATCGGGAAGTCTATTATTCCACACTGCTTCACACATTAAACGCCTGCTTCCGTCTGAGATTCAGGAAACACCGTGACAGGAAATGAGGGATAGCAACAGAACTGATGATTCACCATGCTAAAAATTATAGTTTCTTCTCCCGTTAGATTCACAAAATGTTTAGGGGGTATGTATCTCCCTGCATACCTCCAGAAAGAATATCTGTTTTTGTCACTTTACACCAATGATCTTCGGATATGAAAATATAGTCTAAATGGGCCGCTGAACTATACCTGTAGGATTGGGATGTGAATTACCTGTCAGTAGAGTGACTCAGCCGCCAGGGATTGCATAAATTATTGGCATGCAGAAGCTTAGTCAGGGCTTCACCTGGCTTTAGGGATCTGGTACAGGAGCCCTTACAGTTGATCACAGGATTTACACAATCGTTCAGATCTCCAATGATTTGGCCTTCTTGAAATCCTCATAGAAAAGAAATAAAACTCTCAAGAAAATCGACTTGGCCCGTATTGGGGACGTAAAAGCAATCTATGGTTAGTTTCTCAGACCCTAGTGAGCCTTTTAATATGTGATACCTGTCTTTTTAGGGACGCGGGTGGCGCTGTGGGTAAAAGGCTCAGCGCCTAGGGCTTGCCGATCGAAAGGTCGGCAGTTCGAATCCCCGCGGCGGGGTGCGCTCCCGTCGTTCGGTCCCAGCGCCTGCCAACCTAGCAGTTCGAAAGCACTCCTGGGTACAAGTAGATAAATAGGGACCGCTTACTAGCGGGAAGGTAAACGGCGTTTCCGTGTGCGGCTCTGGCTCGCCAGAGCAGCGATGTCACGCTGGCCACGTGACCCGGAAGTGTCTCCGGACAGCGCTGGCCCCCGGCCTCTTGAGTGAGATGGGCGCACAACCCTAGAGTCTGTCAAGACTGGCCCGTACGGGCAGGGGTACCTTTACCTTTACCTTTTTACCTGTCTTTTGGGTCTGTTATGGAGTCTGTTATGGTAAATGGGTGGGGTTTTTTTGCAGGATCCTAGAACACAGGTTTGATCTTCTAACTATTTGCCCTTTAACAGAGGAGTTGATGCTCTGCCTGTTTTTATTTTGGCGCGTCTTTTATATCAGGATTATATCCTGATGCCCCCTTTTCAGGAGCGCTTTGCCCCCATAATTGAGGGGGTCCAAGGCCATGTGATGTCATCACGCTGTGTGCATGCATGATGTTAACACGCCCCACGGACTGATGTCTCATGTCAGAACAGGATTGGATGGGGAACAAGAAGCTGGAATTTAATTCAAGCAGCTTATATTGCATTCCCTGGAAGAACCATGTCTGCAATTGCAACTTGGAAGTAGTCTTAGACAGGATGCAACTCCTTGATTTTTAGGGTGGTCGCAATGGCCTGGAGCACCTTTTACCAGCTTCGCCAAGAAGCGGCAAAAGCAACCTTTCATAAAAGCAATGGGACTTGGCCCTTGTCATTCACGCAGTGGCGTAGCGTGGGGGGTGCAGGGGGGGCCGTCCGCACCCGGCGCAACATCTGGGGGGGGGTGCGCTCGCACTCGCAGCTCTCTGCCTGAGTGCTAAAATCCACGGGTTAGGGGGCGCAAATTACTTGCCTTGCCCCGGGTGCTGACAACCCACGCTACGCCACTGCATTCACGCCTGAGTTATACTACAGTTGAATGTAAGGTATTGGATTATATGTTATACTATATTTACTGCACTGTAATTATAGGCGTAGGGACGCGGGTGGCGCTGTGGGTTAAACCACAGAGCCTAGGGCTTGTCAATCAGAAGGTCGGCGGTTCGAATCCCTGCGACGGGGTGAGCTCCCGTTGCTCAGTCCCTGCTCCTGCCAACCTAGCAGTTCGAAAGCATGTCAAATGCAAGTAGATAAATAGGTACCACTCCGGCGGGAAGGTAAACGGCGTTTTCGTGCGCTGCTCTGTTTTGCCAGAAGCTGCTTAGTCATGCCGGCCACATGACCTGGAAGCTGTATGCCGGCTCCCTCGGCCAATAAAGCGAGATGAGCGCCGCAACCCCAGAGTCGGCCACGACTAGACCTAATGTTCAGGGGTCCCTTTACCTTTAATTATAGGTGTGGGTGACCTCTGACTGCCCAGATGTTGCTGGACTCCACCTTCCAGATGTACTGGCTGGGCCTGATGTGAGTTGGAGCCCAACATCTGGAAAGCCGCAGGCAAACCATTGTTGCTGCAATTCTAGGTGGGGATGCCCTTGTAGACAGTCGGAAAACTACTTGAGAGCCAGTGTGGTGTAGTGGTTAAGAGCGGTAGTCTCGTAATCTGGGGAACCGGGTTCGCTTCCCCGCTCCTCCACATGCAGCTGCTGGGTGACCTTGGGCCAGTCACACTTCTCTGAAGTCTCTCAGCCCCACTCACCTCACAGAGTGTTTGTTGTGGGGGAGGAGGGGAAAGGAGAATGTTAGCCACTTTGAGACTCCTTTGGGTAGTGATAAAGCGGGATATCAAATCCAAAACTCTCTCTCTCTCTACCTTTGATCCAAAACACAGCTAGGGTTTTAACTGGGTCCCAGCTGCTGGATTAAATTATTTCAGGCTTGTATTACCTTTACTTGTTTCTGGGCTCAACTGAGCATACTAATGTTAATCTTCAAAGGTCTTGTCAGTCTATGACCTGGTTACCTTAAGAACCGCCTACCCACTTACAAAGCTGCCATGCCTGAAGATCAGCTTCAGACGCTCTGCCCTGTGTCCCTTCCTTATTAGCAGTGCAATTAGAAAATGCACTTTGGTGGCGCAATAAACTTGTCAGAGAGATTTGTCAGAATCCTCTTCCAGCGTTTAGATAGGTGTTCAAGCAGGATTCTTGGATTGTTAAATGTTTGCTGCCGGATGCTTTGATTGGTCTGACACTGCAATGACATCACACAGATAATTACTGTTTGCTGCGATGGATTTCTTGGTTGCTTCAAATATGATGTCGTAAAAAGGGCTAAAAATACTGATTAATGAAAGTGCCAAATTTGAGACACATCACTACATAAAGTGCTAAAATAACCAAACTGAAGCATTACGGAGAAGGGTCTAATGTGTCGTTTAGACCATGGGTAGGCAAACTAAGGGATGCGGGTGGCGCTGTGGGTTAAACCACAGAGACTAGGACTTGCTGATCAGAAGGTCGGCGGTTCGAATCCCCGCGACGGGGTGAGCTCCCATTACTCGGTCCCTGCTCCTGCCAACCTAGCAGTTCAAAAGCATGTCAAAGTGCAAAGATAAATAGGTACTGCTCCGGCGGGAAGGTAAACGGCGTTTCCGTGCGCTGCTCTGGTTCGCCAGAAGCGGCTTAGTCATGCTGGCCACATGACCCGGAAGCTGTACGCCGGCTCCCTCGGCCAATAAAGCGAGATGAGCGCCGCAACCCCAGAGTCGGTCACGACTGGACCTAATAGTCAGGAGTCCCTTTACCTTTACCTTTCGGCAAACTAAGGCCTAGGGATGGTCCGGGAGTCAGTGTGTTTTTACATGAGTAGAATGTGTCCTTTTATTTAAAATGCACCTCTGGGTTATTTGTGGGGCATAGGAATTTGTTCATCTACTCCCCCAAAAAATATAGTCCAGCCCATGGCTGAAAAAGTTTGCTGACCCCTG